ACTTTTAAGTAAACTTTTTCACTAGATTATTAAGTATATATATTTAAAATTTTATATAAATTAAATAAATATTCATTGAATATAAGTAAAAATAGTAATTATAGTTTTTTTGTAACGCACTGTATATATGTAAATATGTTCAATAAATCATGGAAAAATCTCAGATGCAGAATTATTACAAGTTGATATATTATATATTTAATATTGAGAACTTCAAAAATCAAGAATTTATGAATCTACAAATAGTGATAGTCTAATTATTATAAGAATAATAAACAAAAAAATTCGCGATCACCATTAGTAAACCAAGAGCAAGATGTAGCTGTTGTTGTAGAAACTTCTCTTTAATAGCTCCAGCAAGGTAACTTTGACGCGAGTTAAATGACAGATTAAATTAAAATGAAATCTTATGTATAAAAAACAAGCCAGATTTAACAGATACTAAACTAAATTCATCTATTTATTGTATTAACTGTATAATAAAATGTAATCACGTTTGTCTTGAGGATGAAAAGCCTTTCTATATTTCACGTTACATTTTTGCTGCCTGTATCTTAATTTCCATCAGCACGCTTACACCAACGCTATACTAAATATTACTCGAAAAGAATTTACATATAAATATTATTATTTATTAAGTTAAATGATTTAATTAAGAAAGTCTGTATATCATGTCATATGTTATATATTATTAAATTAAAGAGGAGGATTGGGTGAAAATTCGATTCTTGCGCGTAAAGTTAAAAGAATTGATTTTAGAATGAAATCTCGGAAGAAAGTAAGACAATAAATCTAAAAATAATTTTGAAGTTATATCACCTAAATTCAGCCGAAAAATTTTAATTTCAAAATCTACATACAAAGATCATCTTAAAAAATAGTTTTATAAATATAAATCATGAATAATTTTGAGTTCTGGTGGATATATATAGTACATTTTAAGGGGGTGTTTTTAGTAGTAATAGTATTATTAATAAGGATATTGTACAAAAAGGATATTTAAAAATAAAAAATTCTAATTCTGAGTGGATCCAAAGTATATAAATAGATTCATGTCGAATTTTCTATGACTTTTGTTTCTCTTCACCGCAGCCATCACTGTATCCACTATTACTAGCACCAAGACCAATTTTCTTACGTAATCCTACAAAAAATTGAGTTTTTTCTTTTCCTTTAGTCGGGGAGGATGATAACAAATTGACAGGATTGACGTTGCTAACGTTTGTATTGATGTCATTTGTGATTCCATTATTTCGCTTTTTTTTCTTAATTTGCTTTTTATTATTGTTGTCAGAAATTGTAGAAGGATGTGGATTATCTGCAATGATCTTGGGTTTATTGTTATCTGCTCGTCGACGTTTAGGATTTGTAGAGGATGATATAATTTCGTTTTCTTTATGATCATCAATATTTGATGTCGATGGTGATGTATGAATCGATTCCGTTGTAGAATGACATTTAATCACTACGGATGGCGATGAAGACGTCGATACAGATGTCGATTCGAATTGTTCTTCAGTTATTATATTATTGCTGATGTTTCTATTATTATTATAATTTTTACTTCCGAGATAACTCATCGAAGAAGAAGCTCTTAGTGCTGGATGCAAGGGTACGGAATTAGAGGAATTAGATCTTTTCGGATGTGGTCTGGAAAAAGCTTCATCTGACCCGAAACGAATAGTGCTCGAAGATTTAGGATGATGTCTTAATCGACGTTGTTGCTGCTGTTTTTGCTGTTGCTGCATCTGTAGCCGCAGCTGTAGCTGTTGCTGATGTTGTAATAACTGCCATTGTTCTTGTCGGTGTTCTAATGTCTGGCTTAATTTTCTAGATAACGATTTTTTTCGAAGTTTTGTTGGTTTCGATTTATTACTATTATAACCAATACCATTACCAATACTATAACCATAAACACCACTATTATTATTGCCAGAAACTGTTGCTCGACTTGATCCCGATCTTATGGTATTCGTTGACATTAAGGATCCCGAAGATAATTGAGGGTTCATTTGCGGGCTCTTCAAGTTTCTTGAATTTTTTCTATTTGCTGAGTTCGAATAATTGGTTGTTGGTGAGGTAACTAATGTGTAAATAATATGTGAAGAAAAAATTGAATAATAAGTAACGGGATGAAAGCCGATGTGATGGACGAAAACGAATAACCGGATATAATTTTTGTGTGTGTGGTAGTGGTATATTGAGCATTTAGCAGCATGATTAATTAATTGTGTTTTTAATTGATCGCGACCGAAAATTTATTCATTAGCAAATAAAGGTTTTTGTGTTGTGTGTGTTAATAAGTGAGAATAAGAATAAAAGCATATACAATAATTTATTGGATAAATAACAATAAATAGGAACATTAATATACAATTTCAAAGTAAAGTGTTAAAAGTTATCGTGCGAGATTAAATATTCAATAATATGTATATATGTGTGCGTGTGTGTGTATATATGAAAAAATATTGGTATAGAGAAAAAAAAGAATAAAGAAATTAATTTAAATTTATGTATATAAAACAAAATAAATAAAAAATAAATAAATTAATAAATAAATGAATGAATAAGTGAATGAATTAATGAATGAATGAATGAATGAATGAATCCCTATACACTCCATTATATTATTTTGTTGTAGTAGTATTATCATCATTATTATTATGGACTCTCGATTTGTTATTCCCGTGTTTTAGACACATTACTTTGCGCCAAATATTAATAATAAAGTCCTATTTGTTTTAATGTCTATTATTGTAGTAGTAGTAGTAGTAATAATTGCAGTAATATTTGTAGAGTATATATTTCATATATACATAAAAAATGCACCTATCTTGCCTACCCTCTCTCTTCTATCCATCCACCCACCAACACACACACACACACACACACAAAATAGACAAAAGAATAGATAATAATTATTTGCTAATTACCATTTTCTCCTTCTCCCGATCCCTGATGTCGAATTTTAGGTCTTTTTTTCATATTACTTGGTAACGTTTTACTTCTGCCAAGTGTAGATGTACGTGAAACACTACTGTTATTATTATCAGAGTCGTTGTTGTTATCTGTAGTAGTGTTTGATTGATGACGAGGTGAATCCGGAGACGCAGGTTCAAATTCACCTTTCTCGTTTCTTTCCAAACTGAAACTTGATCTCCGTGTATTTCTTCGTACTGGAGTAGGATTATTTAGATTTGGTGGCTCTATCATTGTAGGTTTACTGTTATTATCAATATTATCATGGTTATTGTTATCCTTAGTGCTGTTATTTTTTTCCTTATTGTTGCTATTATTATTATTATTCTTCTTATTACTGCTATTTGAATAATTAGATGGGTTAGGTATTGTATTAACGCTTGGTGTTGATTGATTACTGGCTGTGTTGATGTTATATGGTGGTTGAGGTAATCCCATCAAAAAGAAATTCTGACAATCGATTAAAAATTCAAGAACTTGTGACGACAGCTTATACTGTTCTGGTGCCATATCATGGCTTTCATGTGACAAAATGCCCGGCTGGAATATCGAGGCGAGATTTTTCGATGGCATAAGATTCTGTTCAGATTTTGAAGAGAATACCGCGAGAAGATCTAGTATGTATAATAGTAAATGCTGGTTTTCTTTTGGCAATGTGCTGATTAACTTTTGGTATGATAATACTCGGTCGTGTGCGTCGTTCGAGTTCACTATTAATAATAAAGCATTTGATTAGCAAATTATTATATATAAAAATTACAAATCAAGCATAATAAAATTATTTTAATGAATGATACATAATAATAAATAATTATAATTAATTAATTAATTAATAAATAAAAATAATGGTAATATTATTTTAAATTATTACCAAGCACCGATCTAAATTCTTCATAACGTTTTTGTGGAATGACTGGATCCGGTAGATGATTCAAGTACCTTCGCAGTATATTTGCTGCATCATGTACGGAATAACCCACCCATGTCAACGTTTTGCCATAAGATGGCGGAGAGTCAAAGATTGCCTGCAATTCTTTTATACGTTTAGCAGATCCACTAAGCCTAAAGATGCCTTCCGTTGTAGTTGCTTCATTAAATAAATAATTCAATTTCAACAAGTTAATAAGAATTTAATAAGAAATGAAGAATATAAATATAAATATAAAATATAAAATAAAAATAAAATAATAAAAAAGTTCATAATACGAGATAAAATTAATTAAAAAAAAAAAAGGAACAAAGAGAAAGCTCTATTATTTTAATCACCATAAAAATATTCGCACTACAAATCCTCCTTCTATTATTCCAAAGAGATTAATAAGAATTTCGATAATAAAAAAAGATGAAGATAATAATAGTTTGTTTATCAGTCATTACCTTCTTGTTTTAAAAACATTCCACATTTAGCGACTATTGTCGGTATATAGCCATATACATATTGTCGACCGTCTGGACCTGCCATACATATTGGTATACTCGCATATTCTATAGCATCTGCAAGTTCAACTCCAAATATTGCTCGAACACCTATTAAAATTATCATCACATCAAATGGTGAGAAACTGAACTCATTTTAATATAAAGAATCAGAATGGATTTAAAAAAGATCAAGAATGCTGAAACATTCCATGTTTACCTTTCCCTTTTCCGTCAGCACTTTTTTTAACAGGCGCATTTTTAGCCGTAAACTGCCTCCACCACGCCTTCAAATTTTTTGTCGCTGTAACATTTGACATTTCAATGTGATTATGGTTACTATGGGTGTTGTGGTGGTGCTGGTGTTGTGACATGTGTAGTTAGAAGTTATAATGTTTTTAAGAATGTAATTTAGGGAGTATAATGATAATACACAAAGAAACTATTGTGTAGTCATAGTATTAAACTGCTCGCCAATATATAATATAGGTCACAAAAGCGAATGTATTGGCGAAACAATAAGAAAGTATGGGTGTGTAGTACGTGCGTGTGTAGAAATGTAACTATGAAACTAAACACCAAGGTGACCACGAGGATGATCAATTGTCGATCAGCACCTTTTCTTTGCTATTTTTAGAATATCCAAGTTGACAAGCCTGTAAAAATTTTTCTATTAACAATCCAATAATGACACAATTCATTGTGGCCCAAGATGGCTTGGATAACTATCGTCCAATCATCCAATGAATAAACTTAGAAAAGTTTCTATTCTTTGTCTCGCTTTTTTTCTTTGCATAACCAAACATGATAATTAATTAAACTTTATTAAAAAGGAAAATTGAAATTATTTTTTTTTAGACGCATAAAAGTAATTGACCCAACTTTACTCAAAGAGATAGAGCATGCAAGGAGTACATGAATATGTGAAGAGAAAACTTGTTAGTTGGAATTCAAAATCTGTGATTACGAATTACATATGTGGTCACTTCCAAACAAGACGCACACTTGATAAAGATCATCATGTTATATACGAGAAAATCCTGATGTAGCTTAACGCCGTACCCGTTGTTGTACGAAACATGTCCGAAAGTCCGCGTCTGTCGGACAAGTCGATCTCAACCTTGGCCGAAATAATATGGATATCATGTCCAAAATTCGATTCAGCATCGTTTGATAAAAATATCAGACTTTGTATCCAATTGCATAGCGTCACCGCAAAAACATTAATTTACATCTTCTCTAGGCTTTTCTATTGATAAGTTATCTAATATTTGCTGTGCTCTTTCTTTAGTCCAATTTTGTAAAATTCCAAAAAAAAATCAATGAGTTGTCGGTGTGACAAATTGGCCGAGTTCACCAATCGCGTGCATTTCTGTCTTCACCCAATCAGGCTAATTTTGTGACTCGCAATCAATTAATTTTTTGCTCAAATGGATACTTGCCTTGGATACTGGTATTATCCTTTCAATAATTATTATCTTATGTAGGTCATCGTAACATGGTCTATGTCTAGCCATGGCAAAAAAAATGGTCGGATCACGTGAATACGAAACATCCGAATGTCAGATCGTATATTTACAGCTCGGCCGTAAACTTAAGATCGTATTATATATTAATAATAAATTGTTCTTTCTTTTTTAAGAATACATAACTTTCTTAAAAATTTAATTTCAGATTTATTATAAAATAAAGCTATTAATAATAAACAAAATTTTTTAAGTAAAGAAATATTTTATATAAATTAAATAAAATATATAAGAGATATAATAAATATAATATAAATTTATATAGATTATTTAATCTACTTATTCTATTTCAAAAATAGATTATTATAATATATTTTTTATTAAAATATTTAATTAGCTAATTAATCAAAATATAATTAGAATAATATATACTAATTATTAATTATAAATTTTTTAGAAATTTATAAAATAATTAAAGAATTTCAGAAAATTTATTAATTTAATTTAAAATTTATAATTGAAAATAATTTATTAAATAAATTATCTATTTTTATCAATTCAAAATTTATATTTTATATATTTTTATCATTATTTATTTTTTTCTTTATCTAAATTTTTTATTAATAATAATATATTCAAAAGCTAATCTAAGTTTTATTTTTTTTAGTTAAATTAATTAATATTAAAATTATATTTATTAAATAATTCTTTAATTTATTATTAATAAATAATAATATTATATATTTAATATTTTATAAATTTATATATATTAAAAAATATTTATATATATAATTTTATAATAATTAATAAATATATTAATTATTATATTTTTTTGAATCAAAATTATTAAAATTTATATAGAATTATATTATAATTAGATCTTTTTATAATTATTATACTTAAAAAAAAGCAAAGTTAAATAATTAAAGAGAGATATAATTATAAAAAGATTTTTTAAATTATAATTAATTAATAATTAAAAAACTTAAAAAAATAATTATAAAGAGATATAATTAATTTTAATTAAAATTATATTCTTTTAACTTAAATCTTTATTTTATGTTATTTGTATTATATTTATTAATTTGTATTATTTTTTATAAAAATTATTTTCATTTTGAATATATAAATAATTATTATATATTAATTTAATTAAATTAATGATATATTATTATATAAATAATTACTATATATTTTTTAATTATTAATTTAGATAATTAATATTTTTACTTAGTTTTTTTTCTTTATAATTTTATTTATTCTTTTTTTATTATTATTTTTTTTATTATTATTTATATTATTATTTATTTTTATTAATTTATTAAATTAAGTTTTTATTACTTTGTTAATTAATTATATAAAATCTATATATAATTTAAATTAATAATTTTATATTTTTTTAATTAGATTATTTTCTATAATCTTCTAGTTATATATATATATATTATTATTATTTTAAGTTTATATATATATAAATATTTTAAAATAATAATAGTAACTGTATTTATGATAATTATTTATTTTTATAACTTTTAAAAGATTATAATAATTAATTATCTTCTTAATAAGATAATTTATATAAGTTTTACTTTAAACAAAATACTCTCTTAATAGAACAAAAAAAATAAAGATAAAATATATGATAAAATATATATTTTTATTATAAAAAAATATTAGTTAACTACTTTTAACTTAATAATTAATTACTTTTATTAAACTTAATTATTTTTCTTGATTATTTCTTAACTCTTTATATATAATTTTTCTCATTTCTTATTATACTAATTATAAATTATTTTTAATATAATATTTTATCTAATTTACTTAAGAACAAGTAGAATTTCAGAAAAATTATTATAAAGAATATTTCTAAATTAAATATGAAATAATTAAAAATTAAAATTAGCAAAATATTAAAGATATTTATAATTAAAAAAAGAAAAAGAAAGAAAAATTAATAATAACTAATTAGAAAATTTAAAATTATAAATTAAATATAACATATAACTAAATTAATAAAAGAATAAAGCTAAATATAAATAATAAAATAAATTAAAAATAAGATTAAAAATAAATTAAATTAATTAATAATAATTTCTTATTTGAATAATTTAGAAATAATTGATAATTACATTATATATTATAACTATATTATATATTATATTATTTTTACTATATTATCTAAATAAATAATTAATTATAAAATTCTTAACTTCAAGAAATTTACTTTATAAATCTTTTAATTATTATGGGTCAGTGCAAAAAGATTTGTATCTCAATATAAAAATTAATAATTGCTTCTAATAAAAATCATTCAAATTTTAACCAAT